GCAGCTTTAAAGAAAACTCAACTGTTTCTCAGCATACACAGTTTTTACTGGAAACACCGATTTGTTCTCTACAGAAAGAGAGCCCTGGAGAAAGCAACAAGCCACAATATTGGAAGTAAACCATTTCCTATGATTTCGGCATACACAAAAACCTGATCAGCCATCAAAGTTTGGTGATGGATAAGTCCCCCCCCCCCCTTTTTTTTTCTGTTAACAGTCTGACATTTTCAGATGAGCCGCTACGTCTTCTTGACTTCCCCACTGTTTCAGCTATTTAATTTGAGAGGAGTATGCGATTTTCTCCAGGGTCACGTACAAAATATACAGTGGGACCAAAAACCTGGCGGAAAAATAAAACGACACACAGGCAACCTTTTCCAAATCCAGATGATCACAAACCTATAGGCCAAAGCAAATATATATGTACATAGATCTATACAGTCTCAGGTAGGCTGGCATTCTATTGGCATGTAAGACCCAGTTCATCAAACAAAAACATATATGCGGTGTTTATACTCATTATGGAATGGCTCGTACCTGTGTAAACTCAGGTACATCTTAGATGTACTGCATTTAAAAAGCGTAGCTGGTGTAGGCAGTGAAAACGCAACAGAGCAATCAATAAACGCAATATAGGCTCCAGAAATACCTCATCAGTAAAGACACAGCCAGAGGGGACTCGGGTGGTGGCTAACGGCAGCCGAAGCTGCGGTCTGACTAGCAGTGTCGATCCAAGGCGGAGGAACCTTATGAGACTGAAAACGGGATGCAGACGGGTCCCTGCCACAGCTCCTTCCACGCCATGGAGTGATCAGGTTTAGCTCTTACATCGCACTTTGCATCAGTATCAAAATACGGGAGTAAGGGAATGGGGGGGGGGTCATTCGTCCCAGGGTGCGCCCGGGGGCTGGAAGGTATCTAAGGACCAGCGAGGACTAGATACTATTGAGTCCATCTTACTTCAGGGTGGGCTTTCTCGCTGTCCCAGGACACCCTGGCCTGGGTTGCCCAGTGGGCACGCCCTCCCCTTCAGCCTGACCCTGAGCTACTGCCAACCTCAGCACAGCGTGGCTGCACGCTCCCGTACAGCCGGCCCGGCAGAGGGGGACGTGGGAAGCCCATGGGCACACAGGGAGCCACGCTAGGAAGGTCTGGGGTGGCAGGAGCCCTGGAGATGCCTAGCGGGGACTGGGCTGGAGAGAGAGAGACCCTGCACTCCCTCCCGTGCTGTGCTCAGCCGCGCTGGCTCAGTTGGCCACCGGAGGGCTCGGGGCGGGACCAGGTGTCGTGCAGACTGCGCTGAACCCCTTCCAACTGGGTCTCCCTGCCTCGGCAGGTTCCTCAGGTCGGGACCCGCCCGCTCTCCTGGCTCGTGGCCTTTTTGGCAGCTCTGGTTAAATTCTCCTGGCCGCTCAGGCCACAGAGGGGCCCATCGCTCCTTCGGGGCTGCGACTCCACGGCGCGGGACGCAGCCCCTCAGTCGCACCCGGAGGAGCCTCGTCCCTTCGGGGCGGAAACCTCCCTGGATGAAAACGCACTGGCCAGGCTGTGCCGACCGGGGGGATTCCCCTCCCCCGGCCACTCGCCTTCATATTGTCTTTACTGATGAAGTACCAGGAAGGCTTTCGATTGCGTCCGCGGGCTGGTTCTGCCGGGCGCACAGGCCGCGTGGGGGACGGGGCAGCAGCCTACTGCAAGCCAAAAGGAAGCCCCAGGTCAGCGTGTGAACCCCACAGCTGCCCTCCGCCAAGCCCGCCCAGCGAGCAGCCACCCCAGGCAGGACAGGAGCACCACATCACAATCCCGCTCCCCAGGGGCCCGTGAGCCGGCCCCAGGCCAGCTTTCTGGTCAGAGTGGTGGTGGGGGGGGGGAGTTTATGGGAAATGCCTGGGCCTGGGTCCACACAGTCTGCCCTGTGCCTAGGCCGCCCTGTGCCTGAGCTCAGCCGGCTCCTTGACCTCGCATCGTCGCCGGCGCGTCCAGCCAGCGCTTACCGGGAAGGCGGCTTTCTCCTGGGATGGGAAGTGCCAGCGATGCCGGCGACGGGGGGGCAGCCAGCTTAGGAGGAGACGCTTGAAGGGGAGAGGGCAGCCTCTGCACACACCAAGGCGTGGGTCAGGGCTCGAACGGAGAAGACGGCGACCGCGTGTCTGTCCCCGCCCCAGGCGAGCAGATGCTCCAACGCGTCCTGCACCCTTCGAGTGACCAGACACTCTGCCCCTCCCCGTTCCCCCTCCAGAAGTCTGGACCGCCCACGTTTGCCTTTGGTCAGCTGAGAGAAGGGGGGGGCTGGGTGAACGTGTCCCCCCCTCCCTCACCTCGTTCCACGAGGCGTACAGCTAGTTCAGAATAGGAAGCCTAATCCGAACTAGCTAGTCCGTGCTGCGTGTAGCCGCGCGGCACGGGGTCCGACCTAGCCGGCATTTAAAAATGGCGCCGGCCGGCTTCATGCAAATGAAGCCTGGGAAATTCAAATCCCGGGCTTCATTTGCAACTCCGTATGACTACATTACCCCCCTAGTTCGAACTAAGGGGGTAGTGTAGACAGACCCCAAGAGGGGAGAGCTGGGAGGAGCTGACTTGATGGACGGGTCCAGAAGCCACGGGGCCCTCCCAGGAAACCTGCCTCTCCCCCACTCCGCCAAGAGATGGGGTTCGCTAACAGCCCAGGGGGAGGGAGGGCGGGAAAGGAAAACCAGAGCCTGCGCAGAACGACTCCGCGGCACCTGCCTAAGGAGCGCTGGCTGCTTGAGAGCAGAGACCCGGCCGTGCCATGGAGACGCCGCGGGAGCAAGAGGGCGCTCTCTTGTGCGGGTCTCGCCTCCTGTGATGTTTGGCAGCTGCCTCCCCTTCACCCCGGGGGCTTGCGAGAGAAATTCGCTAAGAGAACCCCCAGATGGTGAGAGCAGCAAAGCGACAAGCAAAAATAGAACGCGTGTCTTCTCACCTTGAACTTCTCGCTCGAGGGGTGTGTACGTGCAGGCCTGCTCACGCAAGGGTGTGCACGCACAAGTGTATGCATATGGGGGGGTGTACACGGAGTGGGGTGTGCACCCATGCGCTAGTTAGGCCTCTGCTCTGGAAGATTCCTGGTTTGTGGAGGAAGCAGCGGGCAAGCTGTAAGTGGGCAAGGAAGTATATTAAGGAAAGGGAAACTGAGGCAGCCTTAGGAAAAGCTTCCTGGCAGTGGGGTGCAGAAGGCTGTGGAATCGCCTGGCTAAGGGAAGGCCGGGGAGCCCCGTTCCTTGGGATGCACAGAGCTTGGCCGGCCAGGGCACAAGAAGTGGGGCTGACCCTCGGGAGACGTGTGCCAGGTGGGGGGGGCTGGCATTTCTGACGGTGCATGTCGGTGACTCTGGGCCAAGAGGGAGCTGGCCGCCTCATGTTCAGTTCCGGGGGAGGAGGCGCCTGTTTAGTCTCCCGTGCGTATTCCAACGGGAATGTCTCGAACGCTCGGCCGCCCGCTGGCACGTGCCACACACGGTCTTGCACAGAAGTCTCGTCAGACGTGGGCACCTTCTTCCTACAAGGAAACCGCTCCCTCCGCTGCATCGCCCTTACCGCTGGAGGGGTGGTGGCAATTCCTTCTGCAGCCGCGCCTGCCCGGGCCCCTTTCCGACATCCTGGCAGCGTTCCACACGGAGCAGCGTGCTCCGTGAGGTGGGACGGAACAGACGTGGGGGCTGGCAGGAAGCCCCTGCTGCATTAGTACTTCATTTGGCACCCCCGGCTTAATCCCACAGAGTTCCAACGCGCCGATAATAACGCAGCAGCCGCGGCGGCGGCATTCCAGAGCAAGCAAAAGAATTCGGCCTGCATTTGGGAGAACGAGATTAGCAGGCGCCTGTGATCTCTCTTTAGCTGAAAGCCGACCGACGGCTTTGAACAACGGCTCCTCAGGAGTGAACACAGGCAGTAATGAGTCACCGGCTCACCATGCACTGTCTGATGGAGATAGCGTCGCTTAAAATGTTCTGGAAGCTTCAAAGCCTTCTTCTATAATCACTGCTTACTGTTCAAGTCAGTGAAAGAGTGAACCAAAAACCGGAGTTCCTGACACTGCCAACCTGGAGGGTGCCAAGGAGGACGGGGTTCCCTGAGCTCTCGCTAGAGAAAGGATGGAATTTGACTTGGATTTCAGAACAAGGAAGCCCTCTCCTCAATCAGCGGTTGAGATCTTGGATCTCATTCCTCCTGACAAAAGAGCTAGGGGTCACCAGAAGAAATGAATAGGTTTAAAACAAACCAAAGGAAGTATTTCCTCACACAGCACACCTGTGGAACTCCTTGCCAGAGGATGTTGTGAAGGCCGAGACAGTAACAGGGTTCAAAAAAGAGATAAATTCATGCAGGAGAGATCCCTTAATGGCAATTAGCCAGGCTGAGCAGGGAGGGTGTCCCTCGCCTCTGTTGGTCAGAGGCTGGAAATGGGCGACAGGAGAAGAATCACTGGATGGTTCCCTTTTCTGTTCACTCCCTCTGGCGCACCTGGCCTTGGCCACTGTCGGCTGACAGGACACGGGACTGGATGGAACTTTGGGCTGACCCAGCGTGGCCGTTCTGATGAGGGTGGGAGAACAGGCATGGTTCTATACAGACCGCAGACTGGTGAGGCTGCTGACGGTTGTCAGATGACAGCTTCATGCCTCGAGGGACACATGCGGGAGCGAAAGGGGTAATTTAGCTTGGGCCTATGGCCACACCCCAGGGGCAGCACCGTGGGCGGAGCCAAAGCGGAGGAGACGGTATTGTGATGTGGGCTACTACCTCCTCTCGCCTTAGAGCCAACCTGGAAACCCAGGAGTCGTGCGGGTGAGACTCAAACCCCGTCCGCACCCAGCGACGACGTGTCTGCAGCTGTCTGACTCCCAATGCTACTCCGTCCCGACTGAGCCTCGCTTCCCTGTCCCTGGCAATCCGAGTGCAGAACCGTGAGGCAAGTCACCATTCACAAAAAAATGCAGGGTTGGTTGCTTTGACATAGGATTTCTTATTTTTTATTTTATAATCAGTATTGGAAAAAGATTGGCACATTACAGCTCCAAGCAGCTTGGTTCAAGGGGACAGCCCACAGACACTGGCAGAGCACTACAAAGGAAGGGAGCTCATCTTTCCCAAAGCTTTTTTTTTTCCTTCTCCGTTTTGGATGCTAGGAACACAAACGTCAGACTATTTAAATATCCAGCAACATTAGTTAAGGTAGGAATATTAGTGAAAACAAAATCCTTTACAGGCTTCATCAGAGTTCACAATACGGCTCGACTTTCAATATCAGCTCATTTCCATTAATATCATTTTTGACACATTCAAAGCGCATGTAACAAACTGAGTTCATCATTTTGGCATTTGAAAATAAAACCCCGAACAAACAAACGAACAAACAAAAGGTTTGATATGAAATAATGGAAAACCATGTCATGTATGGAGTTTACTAGGGTGACCATAGATTTGAAAGCATTTACAAGGATTCTTTTCTAACTTTCATTTGATTCCTGGCTGACACGCTTTCTTTTAATAAAAAGAAGTTACTAAGAAACTGCACAATCAGGAGAAATCTGCGTGAGCAATGGATTTGGTTTCCCCAGTAATTTATTACTGCTAGCAGGGAGCGCTGTGTTTGATGAATTTTTTTTTTTTAAAGGCAAGAGGTTTTGCAATGTATTTAAATAAACAAGGACTTAGGGTCTCATGTGAGACGAGAGGACCCACGTCCAATCTTTGGACAAACTAACAGGCAGGCCCGGCCTCGCCTACTCGGCCGCTCACTCTCTGCCCCGACTGGGAAGCGAGCTGCCTTGGGCCTTTGGCCGGGTCTGCTAATAGGAAGTGGGTCGTGCCCATGAATGCTCATGATACTGTGCCGATATTTTTGTTAGTCTTTAAGGTGCTACAGGACCACTTGCTGTTTTATTTGCTTAGAGGTTAGGGGTGGGGCTAAAGATTAATTAGAAGCCTGCAAAGTTCAGTGTTCCACACTTAATCCCCAGGTAAAGTTTCAATAAAAACCACTTTCTTTGCCACTGGCAGACTGAAATGACAGCAGCTACTTTCACGTGCTTACATTGAAGGGCAAGATAAGTGAAGGAACAGGAAAGCTAGGCACACACGTCGATTTCTCCCAATTGTCGTGGGCTGTGACTGGTGTGTTCTTAGACACCATTTCATGATCTGTTGGCCAATGCCCGGATGCCATTAACTATGATTAAATTGGATTCAAACCTAACGAAATTGCAGTACTTTTCACACCGCATCTGTCATTCAGAGTGGTCCCACCTTCTGTGAAGACACTTCCGGCTTTGAAACCTGGTCACTCTAGTATCATTACAAAAGAAAAACCATGAATGCAACTTTTGCAATGAAGAATGTCACCACGACAGCTCCCGGGACTGGGTGATATAGATGCAGGAATGAGATCTACACAGCTACTTAGCTCTTGACTTCAGGTTTTAAAAATTCAGAGTTAACAAAGGAAAATCCTTCGAATTCTGATTGGTCAATATTCCTGATGACTTCCTGGTCAGGTGGAGTTAAGACGGGTGGATGGCGGGTGAAAAATCGGTCGAAGTTTTCAGCATTCCGTCCGCACTATGAGAGGGAAAAAAAGAACTCGTGGTGGGTGGAGAAAACAAAACAAACCGGATGGGGTCAGCAGCAATCCCCTCCCATCCCCCAGCTGGCAGGGCGGATTATTTCAATGAGGAAAATGAGAGAAAGGAAAAGATGCAAAATACTCATGAGCTTTGGTCATTGCAAAGCTGCGGTGTGGGAGGAGCCAGAGACCGACCAGCCATCGGCCTGGCGAGTGATTGCTGGAGCAGGATGAGATGAAGTGCAGTTACTGTCCCTACTCGCACGCAGCAATACTGGGTCTGTTTGAACTGTGCGGCTAAGCACCAGGCAGCTGCTACCAAAGAGCACGGCAGGGCCTGCTCAGCCGTCCCCTCCGCCGCCCGGGAACTAGATGGTTTGGCCACGAACCAACAGCTTAGATGTTGCTACTCGTCCATGCTTAAGCAGCGCCCCCTCCGCTGCGGCAGGGAACCGCTCCTGTCTGCTAGTGCAGACAAGGCCCTGGTGCCCCTGGAGAGATGTACAGGCCCCCCCAGCGCCCCTGCTGGACACCCAGTGCCCCCCCACACCTGCCAAAGGCTCCCCAGGGCAGACAGTCTCCCCGCAAAGCTAAGCCCTGCGTCAGCACAGGGTGCACAGCGACCCCTGGGGTAACAGCACCCAGGCTGCAAACGGTCCTTGTGCCCCCCCATGCTCCGAGGTCTGGGAACGGCCCGGTGCTGCACGCGGGTGTCTCTTAGCGAGCGTGGCCTGGCGAACCCACAGGGTAGCTTCTCGCCGCGTGTCAGGCCTGCTCTAGGAGCGTCACCTGGCAAGCAGAGCAACCCCCCAGCCTGGGTAGCGAGGCGCCTCCTTGAGAACAAGCAGCGCCTGGACACGGGCGGGAGCCCACCCCCTCGGGCGAAAGGCTCCGGGGGGCCGGCGTGGGGCTGGGAGCCAGGCAGGCACTGGTGCGAATCCTGCCTGTTTCACTGACTCCCCGGAGCGACCCCAGGAGCCGTGTGGGGGAGGGAGAGGAGGCAGCTCAGCATGAGGGGGGGGGAGGGGGAGAAATCTGCTGTGATTCCATGAGAGGCTCCAAGGGATGGAGGACCCACCAGAGCCCCGTCCCCCATCCCCGCACAACTCCTGGCCTCCTATCCGAGGGCCTCACGTGCTTCCTTCCCAACACGCCGCTCGGCAGAGAGAAACCTCTTCCCCAGCTCCCACAACGCGCCTTCGGGAAGACAGAGCTGAGAGCAGCCAGGAGGGGGAGTCCGTCTGCAGGAGACGTGGCTTCTTTTGTGGCTAGTGGACCTCCTGTTTGTTCTGCCCTCTCGGCCTCCCTCCCCAGTTAAACCATCTCCCCGACTGGGTCCATACGACTGCTGGCCCCCGTCATCTCTGCTAAGACTCAGCTGTTTTACACAAGCAGCCACACTCCGACTCTTCCCGGAAAGAGAGAAGGTTGCAGCCACGGCTGGAGTGGGACCTTAGCTGTAGAGGCACTGTAGGCGGCTGTGGGAGGATGCTGCGTGTGCAAACGAACCAGGGAGCAGAAGAAAACCCGCGGACACACAGCCTCTCTGATGCCGCTGGAGAGGCCACAGCTGTCCAGAGATTGTCTCATGCTGATCTGACAATCCCCCAACATATAAACCACAGCCATCCAGACTTCCCGTGTCTCTGGCAGGAGCTGGTAGCTATCCCAAGCCATGCTGTGGAACATCAGGTCTGCACTCTTACAAAAGATGTGTTAGATGGCAGACACGTTGGTGCCAGCAGAGAAAACGCTTCCATTCTGAAAGCTGGCTGCCTGACAGCCATCAGATTAACATCACAAATGGAAAATCAAGTCACCAACACCAAGCTGCCAGCCACCCAACGCCTGGAGGCTCCTGCCTTGGAAAGCTGAGACCTGGGCTTTGTTAGGCCATATTGTCACTAGCTTTCCTCCTTAGCAACAAGATGGAACAAAGCATCAGGAAAGTCACTAAAAAAGCTCGGAACACACAGCATAATGAGAGCGACCTGCCAATAAGCCACTTGCCTGCACATGCCATCCACTCTCAATATTGGAAGTTTTGCAGTGCTTGGAAAATACAGCTGTCACTACCCATTAGCATCACACGTTCTCGGTGGAGAGATGCTAGGTAGCGCAGGTGAAACATCTGAGGGCACTGGACCTGAATTGCTTCGAAGCGATAGAATCCTAGAACTGGAAAGGATCTTGAGAGGTCATCAAGTCCAGTCCCTTGCCCCCACGGCAGGACCAGACCTCATCTAGCCCATCCCTGCCAGGTGTCTGTCTAGCCTGCCCTTGAATATCTCCAGGGATGGAGACTCCACAACCCCCCCAGGCAACTTATTCCAGTGTTTCACCCCCTGACAGGCAGGAAGTTTTTCCCTAATGTCCAACCTAAACCTCCCTTGCACAATTTGAACCACTGCGTCTTGTCCTACTCTCAGATATGCCGCATGTTCTTTTAAACACATAGTATCGGTTACTTTAGGATTAACTGGACAAGGTTTGAAAATAATTAACATTTGTGGAGTTCTCTCAGACCCTGGGATGAAAAGTTCTATGGGAAAACAAAGTTTTGTGTTTGATGCGTGTATTTCATCGAACCCGACTCAGCAACCCTGCTGTAATACTAGCCACTCTCTAAAGACCCTCTATCTGAAAAGCTGTGTAGACACTAAGACTTTGTGTTCCACGTTTCTGAATAGGTGACTTTGTTCCCGTGGTTTGTAAAAATGTAAGGAAGTTTCCTGGCCAATAGGTCAAAGTCATATAACAGAATTGTGCCTTCAGGGTCCGTGTTCTCCATGGATCCTAATGCAACTTTCACGCTTGTATGAATGAGATGTGACAATTGCGCCTTCTTTCTTTAAAGGTTACAGAGGCGCTTATGAGCAAGCCAGCAATCCCAGCCCCAGCTACCTTAGCCCCCTGATGCACCATCTCCTGCCATTTCGCTAATTAATACAGCAGGCAGCTGTGCATGGTAATGAGCACAGGCCAATTCCTTTCCAAACAGACTGACAAGTAACACTTTAACAGGTTTCTCTGTTGAGGAACGAGACAGCCGTACTCCACTGGAGAAGGATTCACATTGCTCTCGGCTGTAACAGCTGCTCGTTAAGAAGAGAAAGACATTCCCGAGAAAGGAACATGCAGCGAGCACAAACTCCATCCTGAACTGAGAAAGTAGGAAGCTATTTTACACAAACCCTCAAAGTAGCCTGTCTAGTATTTATCACCACTGCAGAATAGCTTTTTTTTTACAGCTGCAGAAATGAAACTGCCAGTTTAGAAGATAGCCCTTTTCTTTTACCAATTGCTAGCTTGATTTCCAATAGAGACAGCAACGACATAAAACTGTTTTCCCATTGATCCCTGAAATGCAATGAAAAAACCATCAAGCTGACTACGGCTATTTTCATTTTTAGGACAAACATATTCCCCTATCCCTGAAGTCCCAGGCTCAGGTGGTGCTTTGGACAGCCCCCTCTATCTCTCCCCGATATTTTGGTCTCCGATGCGGTTACAGCTCATGACCAAATGGCCTCGAAGGCCCACTTTGCACAAAGCGATCGCTCTGCGTCTGACTGCGTCGACACAGCAGGACGTCTGAGCCAAAGCTCCCTTCCCCCAACTCCCCTTCCTCCTCCTACCGGGAGGGTTAAGGGAGTTGGAGTGAGAAGACATTGTGTTGAAATAGCTGCTCGTAGCGTAGACGCAGACGTTGTCATTTCGGAACAACGTCAGTGACTCTGACAACGCTACGGTGTAGACGTAGCCGAACAGCTCTCACCTGCAAAGGAAGCCTGCCCAATGCTTCTGGAAGGTGAACCGAGGCGCTTTCATTCATAACATCGCTAGCCCCACCCCCCAATCAGTCTTGATAAAGACACTGGATTGACGGTGCGGGATGGCAAACTGCACCCCACTAGCCCCCCCTTCTTCTCCTCTAGCAACAGGGGTGTTAATGGCCCTGAACGAACCCTGAGAATATGCACCAACTACTTCTGCGACGCGATCTGTTCAAGCTTGTATTTAGCTCTGACTAGGGACGTAACCGGTTCACCCCAGGTCTGGTTAACCAGTAGGGGCTGGAGCAGCCCCCTGCCCACACCCCACCGGGGGGCTGCTCCAGCTCTGCGAGGCCGGCCGCAGGCAGGGACTTCTGGGCAGCTGGCTGGGGATCACATTGTTGATTTTAATGGAGCAGGGATCTCTTACAACAGCAGCGGCAGATTTGCCCCCTTGGGCAGGGACTTGCTCGGGAGGGGGCCGGGGGGAGCTGACACTGAAAGTGCTGTTTCACAGTGCTGGGAGAAGGGACCAGAGCTTGCAAGGGTTCCCCCCTGCAGCGGCTCTGGGACGCCTCGCTTCTGGCTGGGGATCACATTGTTGATTTTAATGGAGCAGGGATCTCTTACAACAGCAGCGGCAGATTTGCCCCCTTGGGCAGGGACTTGCTCGGGAGGGGGCCGGGGGGAGCTGACACTGAAAGTGCTGTTTCACAGTGCTGGGAGAAGGGACCAGAGCTTGCAAGGGTTCCCCCCTGCAGCGGCTCTGGGACGCCTCGCTTCCCGACCGTCGTCGGGAGACGGCAAAGCACCCGCCCCCTGCTCGGCACACACGAAGCGCCAAGAGAGGAGGAGTCCTCAGCTGGCCCCGGTTCTGCAAACGCTCCCACCGGCCGGACCTAGCACCTCCCTAGCTCCGTGGGGCCACGCAGCAGGACGAGGGGGTGTGCGAGAGCCATGGTGCTCTGTTCTCTGGCACGTGCCCAGGGCTGCTCTGCACCGAGCAGGAAAGTGAGCAGCTTGGGAACGAGACAGCGGCGAGGGCTGCCAAGATGCCGTATGGATGGTGCTGTCTCCTTCCCTTTTAAAAATTATACG